ATGCGCAAACAATCGTATGTAATTTTCAAGGTTTTACGGATTGCGGCTAGTCGTTGCAATGAGTTGGCTGAAATCTGCATTCCTCTTCTTGGTTGCCTAAAAGGTTGGGACTGTTTTTCTCGCAGTTTAATACCTGCTTGGCTGTTTCACCTCATTTGTATCCATTCCGTGTTGCAGGGATTGGTCTTTTAAATATGTCTTTCAAATAATTTTAAATTTTTTAGCGAAATGAGTGTCGTCATGCCAACTGCAAATACTATCATCCTCCAAAACACCACACGGAAGCCGTTCTAAAGCGAGGCGATATGACAAAGAAAAGCTTTGTGAACCATGGAGCTCAGGTGGCAACTGTGAGTCCTCTTTCCATCTCGCTACTTTTCAAATGCATGAACTCGTCTTGTGTCTGCAATTTTGGCGCCGTGTGCAGTGCCAGACTCCTTTCGGCTGTGACAAAGTAATGCGCCCTTTGTCTCTTGCCGACATTACCTCTTGTGCGCATTGTGCGGATCGATCAGTGACACTGGCAACGCCTTGGCGTTCGCTCATCTGCACATCTGGCAGATGTCGATTTATTTACATAATAAATCTATTTGAACGCAAAATTACTCTGAAAGATTGCTATTCTTTCTAGCTTAGCCCTATTTTCACTACCCTTATTCTGCACTTCATGGCAATTTGCTTTTCCTTTGAATAAAAAAAATAAGTAATCGTTGCTGCATCACTACGTAAATTGGTAAAAGTTAATTACAATGATTTGGTCGTAAAAACTTGCCTCCGAGTGGTGTTTATCCCGACCAATGTTAGCTGTTAAATAATCTAAGGCAACTGGCCGGTGATATTATGCAAGCAAGACCACGCACTGTGTTGGTGCGTGTGCAGAGAGAACAAACTGTAACCAGGGTTTTCGGACCATTGGCTTGAAAGTAATAGCGTCCTTCTGCAGCCTCAGTGTTACGTGGACCCAGCGCATTCTTTGGGGCCTTGCGGGCTACCAGGCCCATACAGGCGTGGGTGTGTGCAGCAGGAAACAGATAGCCCAATGTTTCCCCTCACCTTTGTTTTGCGTGCGTGGCATTATCGCCATCACCAACCAGGTGTTTTGGGCCCCTCTGTGTTTGCGAGCTAGCGTCTGCGCCTTATCGACCTCGATGGCGCGAGCACCCACGCACCAAAGCACATAGCTTCCACCAGTTAGTCTGCGCGAGAGCCTGAACGCTGCAGTGCGTACATATATAAGGCGACGCAGATGTGCGCTCATACATAAATCGCGTCTTTCGATGCAACCACAGACATCTCTGGCGGGTCTCTGCTGGCCTGGTGGCACCATGACCCAGTCGCCTCTCATGCTAAATCCCTCCGCACAGGCCAATCCTGCTGTGGCCCTTGCGATGCTTGCGGCAATGCGAGGCACTGGTGGCCCCAACGCTACGCTTTACTCGCCTTCTGCCGCCACCTCTATGTACACCGCCCTTCCAGACTCCGCCAGCTTAGCCTCTCTCGTTTCTGGCTATTACCCCTTTTCGGGTTCGGCCCCTTCTGCCTCTCCCAGTGCCACTGCCGTCGTTAATAGTGCCTACAACCCCGCAGACGTAAGTGATTTCAACCATAATTCAATGCCCTCTCATTCCTGCTAGCGGATCTTCGAGTTTCTCCCTTCTTTGGCATACTCCACGCATAACCGGTACCTTTGCCGAGTTTCCAGTTATCGATTCATCCTAGGTTGATATTCCTGAAATTCGGTTTGACTTACTTGTTTCTAGTTGAGCTTTGCGGTGTTGCTCTTTGTCTCTCTCCTTGTACTCTGCCTCAAGGGAGCCATTCACTCATTTGAACTGATTGTGCCTTCGGTTTGAGTGGATTGGTAGATCACCATAGTTCTTTTTCGTGTACAGATCAACTTGAGAAACCGCTTTGTCTACACACCTCGAGTAGCTGTTGAAAGCCTTTTTTGATGTAGTTGGATTACTTCACACTCGTCACTCGAGTCGATTCGACCAAAGTTGTCAGACTGAGATTACACGAATTGCCAGAGCAAATAGCCCCTGAATAATGTCATGCTCCCCCTCTTCCTCATTAAATAGGCTCTACTACTGCTCATGACATCATGAATGCGGAACGTTTGCTGGGTAAGTCGATCCTGCAGCATATAAACACCCGCAGGCTGCCGCTACGCCACTTGCTCCCCACACACAGTCTCCAGGTCTAGTTGCAGCAGTCGCAGTATAAATAGTCTCCTCTGACTACATTTTTGTATGTACCTAACGCCTGTAAACCGCCTGTCAGCGGCTGATTTTGTGCGTGTATGTCTATCCATATAATATGTTGTCATTTTGGCGAATCTGCGTCTGTCTCACTCCTACCATTATCTTTTTTGCTTTCTTTGCTACTGTTTTGTTGTCTTTGTCGCTGTTTTCGTTTTATGTCACGCGCTCCACTGAACTGAAGACATACGAGACTTCTGGTGTTTATCCACTTCCTGCTGGATCCGTACACTTCAATTGCTGTATCTTCTCAGCCACTAAGACTCACCCAATTTCCTTTATTAGTCATAAGGAGCCGATATTTTGGCCTTCGGTCCAAGCCAAACACTAAGGGGATGCTGGATGTCGGTTGACCGAGAGAACCAGATTGTCGAAGCTTTTTTTCAAGACTGATTTGGCAGCGGGAAATTTGCACAATGCAATACAATAAAAATTGTCGTGCCTATCACATGCATGTTTTAAATTTACATTCTACGGAAGACCGTCTTTAAAGACGCACTTGTGTGGATCGGAGGTCGCGATTTCATCACCCTATTTCATAAATGGACTCCTATCCAAGTGTGTTTGTGTGTGCATTTGCTAATTGATTTAACGTGTGCTGTGGTGTGCGCACGCGTGTGCTTTCGTGGTATGGCATGCTATCGCTCCTTCTGACAGGCCTCTCCTACGGCGATTTTGTTTATCCAACGCCACCTGCGGTCGCAAGTGTTTGCATGCCAAACATTCCGGTTCGTCATAGTTGTTATGGTCGCGCTTCTGTTTATGTTTAAATATGCGATGGCTCTACGCTCATGGCGAGGTTTTCAAATTTGCAGTTTTGATTCCCTTGAAATTAATACAACTTTCAAATTCATGCTAGAGGGCATTTTATTGCGTTTTTTGGCTTTCTCGGCGTTAGATGTTTACTTTCACTTACCTATAAATTGATATTTAAAGCCCAGTTCGCCCTGAGTACTGCGTTAATCTTTTTTCCCATCACAGCTGTCTAACGATCCTTCTAATTATTTTGTTTTAATCAACTGAAAGTAGGCTTCACCAAAGGTCGTCTTACTCCAGCACAAGTAATCTGTCTCCACTATATCTGTTCTTTGCTGCCTACTGGTGCCTTTGGAGTGAAATTACCATGTTGTTTTATTAATGGACCAGCGTCTCGGCTTGGATTGCTTGATTCAATGCAATTGGAATTCACATTATGCGATCCAAATCGTCGCACAACTCTGTTTTTTGAACTCTGCACAGTGTACTAAATTAATACCTGTCTATGAGAGGCTTTCTCTCAACCATTCTCTGGATTGTTTATTGCATTAACCTACGGAATTTCGTTATCTTCCATTCTTTTTTCTAAAAATCACCGCCATTGCCGCTGTTGGTGTTGCCACTCCCATTGCATGAGTATTCAGATCCTTACCTCACAACAACTCACCCGATGAATTACGGCTTAGCATGGCTGGCTAGCTCGGTTTGTTATTTAATCCCACTCATACTAGTGGCTGGCCTTTCCTTTTCCTCACATTTTGCTGTAATGTCGTGCTTTATGGACACTTCCACCGCCGTTGCTACTGCTATTGCTGTTACTAGTTTTGGGGCGATCTCTTTCCTTCTGATCATGTGCGCGTGCGCGTATGGGCTCGTAACCTTTTCCCCCAATCTTTAAGCTTGCCCTTCCTACCACATTAAAAGCGTTAAATTTGCTTTATATTATAACAGCGCAACTCGGCATGCTAGGACGCCCACTTTCTTCACATTAGTGCTTCAACGTTGTTAAGTCTGCCTTTTAGAAGCATTTCCACGTAGCAGGTATCGTAAGTTGGATGCGTCGTAATCAAGATTGCAGTGGTATTTTTGTTAGAGATGCAAACGCTTTCATTTTCAAGGATGCAAAACATTAATGCTGCTGTTAGGCAACTGCATTGTAAGGGTAGAGTAGTGGCAGCTATGACTAACCTTTGCAAAAGGCCACGCTTGAATTGAAGGCATTTCTGAATAAACAAAAGTATCTAAAATTACATTAGGCTTGTTAAAACACTCCGTTGCATTCCGTGTCTTAGTGTCTGAGACTTTACCACGTCGAACGTGTTCTTCATCAAAACTATTTTTGACAATTCGATTTCATCAATGGATATTTGGATTTTAAAGGTGGTGGGTGCTTCCACTTTTCCTTCAAAACTCTCTCATTGTATCATTTTATTAACAGTCCTAATTTTCGCACAGAATACTTATTCACCACATATGGAGGTGGTCACAAGCTTACTTGAAATTATTTACACAAACCTATGATTTTCTGCAAATCCAGCTCCATAGCCTTTCACGCTACTTTGTCATGCTGCATGATCCACACGCTGGTAGATGAAATCTGTGGTGTTTACACGCGCATATTTACGCTTGTTCCTCTGACCAGTTGCATTACGTTTGCCTTCACATGAACGGGCACCCTCTTGGATTCCTAATGCGTGAGTCCATTTTCTTACACTTATTGGCATTGAATGTGTCAAATAGTCGACCGCTTATTGCAGATTTTGGTTTGACATCAAGAGGAACTGTTGAGGAAATGGCCTTTAAGTCTCAATACATTTATCATCGCTTTTAACGGAAAAGGGTGAATTGGGTGCAATGCGGCTGTTGTTTGTGCTATTTGCCATTGCGAGCGTCTTTCATTACATAATATTTTGGCGCGTCTGCTCGCGCTAGCATGACTTACGTGGCTCGTAGCCACCTGACATCATTCCCCACCAATCACTCGCTCCAACATCTCCAAGCCCTACTCTTTCCTCGACCATCCAACCCATAATTCTAGTGATAATATCTTCAAATTCTTGACCGTTATAGCGTTCTGCACCACCACCTCTCAATCCTTCCTCAGTACCCGTGTATCTAGGCCTTGTTCCCCTTTCCTTCTCCCTTCGCCCACCCACATACACGTGCGCGCCTTTCTGCCCTCCAATCCGCCTAGTTTTGTGAGTACGCGTGTGTGTGCGTGCGTCCACGGCTTTTGCCCGTGCTGCTACACAGCCGTTGCTCGCCACACCCGGCGCGATCCTCATGCCACTGCAACGCGGCGGTCTCCATCCCTTTCATCTGCGCCCCACCATCTCTGGTACCCATTTCAGATCCTCTCTGGCGGGGCGCCCGCTACCACTTCGCTTTTCTTGCCTGGTGGACCGGTGAGCCCCGCCACCTACGCCGCCGCCATCGCCGCAGTAAATGCTAGTCGACAAGCCACAGTCATCCAATCACCACCATCATCATCCCAACCGTCGATTTCAGTCGCGAGGAGCGGCGACGATTTGGTTTCGTCGGCCTCGAGTCGTAAACGCGAGGCTCCAGACGATAAAGATGCTCAAGCGGTGAGTTACCCATTTTTGCTGCTGATCTTACATGATTTTCAAGTTGCTACAGAATCTGCTTGTCAATTTGATCGCATATAATATTCACACTTAGAATAGGTTTGTCACTCCTTGCACTCTGTTGTGCAAAGTTTATGTGTATTTTGCAGCTCAGTATCTCTTAAATGACCAAATTTTATTTAGCTGGCTGACTAATTTGTAGTAAAACTTCTCTTGAGGCGAGTGTGGGATTGTGAAAATTTCACTTAGCTTCTCTCATAGGCTTTTACGTATTTGAACCCGATATGCACAAGTATTAGGCAAATAATATTTGCATAACCTTTAGATGCTGGTTAAAACTTGCAAGTATTCCACAGCTTGACCTACCTTTTAATACAATTCAACCTATCACGTCAATGATTTTTAGCAAGAACTTTATACGAAATGCCTTTACTAT